TACTAGTAGGAACAAGTGCCTTACTAGTAGTAACAAGAAGCTACTAGGAACAAGTGCCTTACTACTAGGAGCAAGAAGCTTTTTGAAACAATAAGCTACTAGGAACAAGTGCATCGCTACTGTAGCTAGAAGCTACTAGTAGTAATGCCGCGCCCTTGTTACTAGTAGCGTCCTTGCTACTAGTAGCGATGCGCCTTGTTACTAGTAATTAGCGTGTGAAACGCGGCATGTCCATGGTGAGCCGGATGATTTGTGGTGTCAGTGGGCTTGGGGCACCGCGCGGTTGCATCGAACATAAAACAAAGCATTTGAGACCAAATATGAGAGAGCGCGCATGAGAGCACACATTATATATAAGGCACAAGTGTGTGAGTAAAGATGGCACAAGTATTATGTGAGTAAACACGCGAGAGCACATATGTGTGAGCACGCGCGTGAGAGCACTCATGAAAGAGCGCACATGTGAGGGCACGCAGTTGAGAACACACATATGGAAAAAAACACGTGTATGAGAACAGACACATATGTGAAGAACAACAACTGCCCGACTCGCAGCCTCGATCATGGTGCCCGACAATGGACTCAATAGTGGCCTATCATTTGGTTCCTGCTTCGCTTCCATCGTTCTTTTGTTGCGCGTCTTCCCATCCCTCACCTATTCACAGCTTACATGTTCATTTCTTTTCTAGCTTATATGTTCGCATAACGCGTGCTTCTTCCCACATGGTTTTCTTAACATCTCTCTCTCTCTCTCTCTGCTCTTGGGCCCAGCCCTCGTCTGGTTTGTGGCACCTACTTTGGTGTTGAATGGCCTGATGTGGAGAGGCTGCGGAACATGTGGACAATTGGCGTCCACTTGACATAACATAAAGTTTATGCCTCCCCAAGTTGTGCTGGGGTGATTTGGGTGCACCACGATATATAAGTCCAACCAGACAGAACACCACTGAGCCCATCTCTTCCCGACTTGCGACGGTGTTCCCCATGGTGTTCCGCATTGAATACGTCTCCCCATCGAAACGCCAGCGGCGCTACGCCTCGCCTCGTTTCTCCGGCGCTGCGCCGAAGACTGAGGCGTTCCTGCGCCGGCAGCGCCGCAGCCACGGTCGGGAGCCACCAGTTCACGGCCCACAACCAGTTGATCACACAGAAGAGACCAAACTTGTTTTAGGAAAAAAGAGAAGAAAACCATGTGACACAAAGGTCATCAAGGGATATCAAAGGTCTTTTGTTTGGATTTCGATGTGTTCCTCGTTTTGTGGAGATATAGTGAATCTTGAGGTTTGCTCGATCCCGATCATGGGGTTTGGTTGCTTTCCAAGCTGGGGTAGGCATTCCAAGCTGGGTCCGCTTGCTTCGACTGTGGGCGGGTACCCCCCACTCTGCCCTGATGGTTTGTGATCGGGTCGAAACATGGCAGTCCGAGGTCAATGTTGGCAGCAGCAGCACAGAGATCAGTGCCAACCAGGTAGCAACTGGTGGGTTTGTCACGCTCACCCTACGCACCAGGCTTTGTACTGTGGAGTGAACCAATCAGACAAAAGACCCTTTTGAATGTCGAATTCAAGGACATGCAATTGGGACTACTAATGATGTCTCTACTACTACAATCCGAGATTTTCTGATGGCTCTTGCGACCAAATCGGTTCTTCCTTGGAAATCTCTGACAAACCCTAATTGAATGGCCAGGACAAGGTGCAACTTGTCCAGTAATGTCCATTTTTTTTGACTGCGGCAGCTCGATCAGCTCAACAACCCATTAATCGATATTAATCGGGCCTCCAGAAGATGGTGAGATCATCTTTTTGCTTCACATGTCAATGTTTCCCTGTTTGACTGTTTGACCTATAAAGTATAGATACGGATACGTATAGATGGAAATTTAATTGGAAATCCGTGGAGTTGCCAGCTTTTGGAAGCAAATCCATGACTGCAAAAAGGCCCCGCTCTTGTTTCTTGTGGGGAGTCATGCGAAGTTGAGTATGTTCTCCACATACTTGTGCAGGTCTTGGCACATGATGCCACCTTCACATCCAGCTGCAACTCAGTGAACTCTGGCTACTCGGGAGTGCCCTGGCAGAGACTTGGAGATGTTTCAGCTTCACAGGTGCAGTTGCTTAAAGTAGATTGGCGGCGCACGATCCGTATGTTCTGTCCTTTGGTTTTTTTCAACCATTTCATGTAATTCTTGTTTCTACTGAACTTGTTGTTACTACTAGTAAGGCACTTGTTACTAGCGATCTATCTAAACCATCATTTCTACTAGCTTCTTGTTACTACTAGTAAGGCACTTGTTACGAACGTAGCGATGCACTATCTAAACCATCATCCAGATGTTGGGAGTTTGAGCTATGACGGATCCTGAAGAGCCGAAGGAGCGGCCGCGCGCGAGTGTTGAAACGGCCGCTCTGTCAGACCATCGTGGGCACCTGCTACTTGGGCACCATCGTCCTGAACGCCACGGATTGCCAGCCTGGGATCTCATTGGTTTGAGCTGGTCGTTTTTTTCTTTTGAGCTGCTCCTGCAGGTGGAAGAGGAAGCCTTTTTGCTGAAGAAAGCCCTCGCTTGAAGCTTTCCAAAGAAACCCCGAACAAAAACTCTACTTGATTTGGATTTGACGGATTTCCGGAAGTCAGTGTTTCTTTTTGTAAAGTTGAACCGGTGATCCCCAAGTCTTTTTTCTGCCCGACCATCCCTCCCTCCGCCCCAGCGGCTTTGCCGTCACGCGTTGGTCGCAGTCCATCGCCCTGCGGAACTGGAAGCACCGTGACCGTGCAACTGGCAGAGCTTCGCAGCGTCCACGCCTCTCAGGACGGGGACCGAAGAAGGAATGTCATCGGTCGCGATGGGGGCGGCATCGCTCGGAATGGAGCAAGTAGCACGCTACGAACGGGGTGGGGCCCTGGCCTTACTACTAACAAGGAGGCTACTAGGTTGGAGGCCATCGCTACTAGGGTGGACTACTAGGGTGGAGGCCATCGCTGGTAGGTATAGCCGCTGTGCTATATGCTTTAGGAAGCGGGGTCGCGATCCATGCAATCGACGAGTGCATACAAAAGCCCAGTTCGGTGGAGGCAGCCTGTTTACAGAAAATTAACTGGCGCTTTTGGAGCAGAAGAAGACCGGGTGATCAGCAATCAGTGGTCTAATTTATTTATACCCGCCGTGCAAATGATAAACGTTAAAGGACCAAGTCTTGATTTTAGAGGTACATCTTTCAAACGGATAAAGACTCTGAAACCATTGCTTCTTCACTCACCTCAATCCTTTCTGACCTCCGCACCATGCTCTTCTTATATTTGACGCCTATTCTGAGAGTAGTAAGAGTGGTAATTGGGATGCAACTAAACACTAGCTACATGCTAGATCCCTAGATTCAGCGTATCCGTTGCTCCCTCTCCCTTCCACACTGCACCGAAGCGCCCGGATACCAACTGCAGGCGTGGACTGCGCACGAGGCCAGCTACTCAACGACCTGCAGTGCGGAGAATAGCGACTTCTACGGAGACTTCCAGGCGGCCCAAACAAGCGAACGGAGGTCAGTTACGCGCCGAAGCCGGTGGGTGAACAGCTCTGCACTTTTCAGAGTTCGGTTCTCATGAAAACCTCAAAGGGTCCACCCCCACATGTTCATCGCGATTGGACATGGGGTCTCACACAGTCGTTCGCATCATCTGTGCTATGGAGGTCACCTGTGCCTATGGAGAGCTCAGCGCTGATATGTCGACTTGTTTGGTGCTTAGCTGTGTCCAGTTTAAGCAGGAAAGATGCAGTAGGGATGTGCAGGAAGAAGACACGGATTGATGCAACCAATAGGCAAATGTTGCATGACGTCGCTGCTTTTTTCTTTTACCACGTCGGGTGATTCAGTCAGGTCCAAGTCTTTGCGGCTCCGAGCTTCAAACGTGTGGCATTTCACGCAACTGTCGAGCATTCTTCGTATCGGCAGACTCCGAGGTATTGAGAACCCATGCCTCAACACGTCCTTCGTGGAGGCGCATGGCGCATGGCATTGATGGGTGTTCCTTTTTGTGAAAGGGAGGAGGAACGGATTCATTATGCATCCCCACTCGGGTTCATTGACTTGATATATGACTTGGATTCATCTTGATTTGTTAGATGTTTGGGCGCACGTATACTTGCCCAAGTTTACATGTTCTTTTTGCGCTGGGGTTCGTTTTTGATTTTGAGTTTTGGCATGAATTTTAATATGAGTTTTGCTGGTGGATCCTGAGATTGGTCAAACAGTGTCCCCAGGATGTTCTGCGCAGATGTTCTAGAGTATTCCCTCCAAAGGGGAACTGCATGTGAAGAAAGATTAACTCTTCTGGGAAGCGTTTGATGGCTTTATGTAGAGTCTTTGTCCGTAGCAGCAATGAGCATCTTCATTTCCTTCTATGAATCCTGTTCTCATGTAGGTGGACGTGGGTGGTGTGCTTGCTACACGATCCCCTCCCTCCGAGGCGGGTGGAACGGCGGGGACCATCCTTCAAACCATGAACAGACAGATTCTGCTTGTGGGATGTTCCAACGCACTGTTGCCTGACTGTTCATCCAACAGCCCAAAGGATGAGGGCAGACATGTTGGTCCTTCTCTGGAAGAAAAACACACGAAACGGTCATTCGTCGGGAGCCGAAGGTCATTCGTCACGTGTTTGACGGACGTTCCATCCTTGCAGGATCCATGCCGAGGTCTCCCTATTTTGATACACATATGAGACTGGGAGGGTGAGTCTTGACCTACTAGCGATGCCAACCGAAGGTTCAGAGGTCCCAATGACACAGGAGTTGTTGGTCTCATCGGTGGTGTTCTGCACGCCGCGACCGATAAGGGGGAATCGCACCGCATGCTTCTTTGAGTAAATAGCAATGGCCTCCAACCTACTATGGAGATGGCCTCCACCTAATGGCCTCCACCTGTAGAAGCGGAGCAGGAAGTTGGATTTATATTATTTTCGCGGCCGTTGAGGAGGACTGGAGGATACTGGAGGACTAGATCGTACAAATCCAGTTTGACCCATTGTTTCCTCTAGATCGATTAGGGGGTTGTCTGTTTAAAAAATAAGTTTGACCACCTCAACTTGGGGTGGTCAGTTCATGTCAGTTCAGTCACCGTCACTTGTCACTTGCCATGTTCTTTGGGGTCTCATCTTGGGTTCATCAAGTATCAAAACCCCTTGAAAGACTGTTGGGGTAAATCGATGGAAATAACTTACAAACACTGACAGAGTTAAACAGTTGGTCATGTTACCATTTAGGTCACAGGCCATGACCGTCAGGTGGTGCATGGCAGCACCTGGACCGCTGGAAGCTGAGGGAGGTTGTTGGGAAGTAGCTGTGTTTTTGGGGAAGACCATCCGGGTGGTGGATCCAGGTGGCCTTTTGCTGATATCCGCTAGTGGCAGCCCCCACTGGTTGGGAGATGCTGGGAGATACCTCGAAGATTCTTGACCAACCTCGGGAGAGAAGTCGCCGATACCTCGGTCCCATGTGCGAACCCAGTCGGAGCCCATCCTGCAGAAACCCAAGTCGGAGCCCAATCCTTTGTGAGAAGTGGTATGAGAGAAGTGACTATGAATCCATACCGCAACGAGGTTTCCAACTTCATTAATATATGAAGATAGATCCTACTCCTCTAGCAGTGCTAAGCATTTGTGTTTCCCGCTCCAACTCGAAAGCGATCCCTTCACATTCTGCGAGTTGCATCGCGCACCGCCCGTCGCAGTGAGGCCAAGTGTGATGAGGTGAACTGGGACTTCGCAGGTGATGTGCAGATGTGGCCCGGATGAATCACTTAGGATTTCAGTTTCGGTTCACTAGCAATAGCCTCCAACCTACTAGCAATGGCTTCCAACCTAATAGCAACGACCTCCAACCTAATAGCAATGGCCTCCAACCTAATAGCAATGGCCTCCAACTTACTAGCAATGGCCTCTAACCTAGAAACAATGGCTTCCAACCTACTAGCAATGGCCTCCAACCTACTAGCAATGGCCTCCAACCAAATAGCAATGGCTTCCGACCTACTAGCAATGGCCTCCAACCTGATAGCAATGTCTCCAACTTACTAGTAATGGCCTCCAACCTAATAGCAATGTCTCCAACTTACTAGTAATGGCCTCCAACCTAATAGCGATGGCCGCCAACTTACTAGCAATGGCCTTCAATCTAATAGCAATGGC